TGTACCTAAGAAAGACGGCGGCGTTCGAATGTGTATAGGCTATAAAAGATTGAATGATATAACCGTAAAGAATGTCGAACCATTACCACGAATAGACGTTTTGCTGGATCGCGTGCAGGGTTGCAAAATCTTTTCGAAGATTGATCTAAGATCCGGCTACCATCAGATTGAGGTTGAGCCGAAAGACCAACATAAGACTGCCTTCAGGACAAGGTATGGGCATTATGAGTTTATAGTTTTGCCCTTTGGTCTCACGAATGCCCCTGCCACTTTCCACAGAACAATGAACGAACTATTTCGTGAGTGGCTTGACAAGTTTGTTGTGATTTATCTAGATGATATTTTGATTTTTAGTAAAGATGAAAAGGAACATGCTGAGCACCTTCGACTTGTGCTAAACAAATTACAAGAAGCAAAACTCAAGATAAACCCAAAGAAGTGTGAATGGGCTAAGCGTCAAGTTCTCTGCCTAGGACATGTGATCGATGGAGATGGGGTCAAACCGGAAGATGCCAAAATAGCAGCAATCAGAGATTGGCCAAACCCCCGCACCTTGACTGAGTTGCGGTCGTTCCTTGGGTTAGCCAACTATTATCGCAAGTTTGTAAGACACTTTACGATCATCGCTGCTCCACTTCGCCGATTGCTTAAAAAAGAAGTAATCTGGAAATGGGATTCAGACTGCACGATGTCTTTTAAGCGTCTGAAAAAGTGTTTGATCAAGTACCCGGTTTTGAAAGTGTCAGACCCTTCATTACCTTTCATAGTCACGACCGACGCTAGTCAATATGGTATAGGTGCGGCACTCCAGCAAGACGATGGGCATGGACACAGGCCTGTGGAGTTTATGTCTTGCCGGTTGCCTAATGAGAAAGTGGCCGCCTCGACGTATGAAAGAGAATTATATGCTTTTCGTGAGGCTCTCAATCATTGGCGACACTATCTTCTGGGAAAGCATTTTAAGGTATACTCCGACCATGAGACGCTTCGTTGGCTTAAAACGCAAGCTCGAATGACACCTAAGTTGACAAGGTGGGCTGCGGAAATTGATATGTTTGATTTTGAATTGAAGCCAGCAAAGGGTAAGTATAACGTTGTTGCTGATGCACTAAGTCGTAGATCAGACTTTTTCGGTGCTATTGTGACATATCTAGATGTTGGTACTGATTTGCAAGAAAATATTAGGAAAGCGTATTCCTCTGATTCTATCTATGGAACCATGATTAAGCAAGTACAAAAAAAAACAGCAGAGTTTGCTAATCATACGGTTACTCAGGGTCTATTGTTTGAACGAACTGATGTGACTGATAGGCTGTGTATACCCAATAATGAAGAAATCAAGAGTATGATCTTGAGGGAGATCATGATACAGAAGGCCATTTTGGGTGGAAGAAGACCTATGGGACTTTGTTGCGTTCCTACACCTGGCCTCGAATGAAAGCAAACTGTATCACGTATGTGCAAGGTTGTCAAGTATGCCAACGGAACAAAAGCACCACACAATCGCCCCTTGGGCTACTTAAGCCCTTGCCAATCCCTACAGGCCCAGGAGACTCCGTCTCTATAGATTTCATGGATACTAAGGTGAAGATCGTTGGTTTACAAGAGAAGAACGGTTAGATTCTGCACCTCATACTGTGACTGCATATGACAGCGCAAAGAGAGGGATTCACATCCTTGATAGGTAAATGATTCTCAGAGGACTTCGAAATTAGGCCGGCGAGAGTCAAAGGGCCTTTACCCGATGTAGGCCTCAGGCCTTGTAAAAGTAAAGCAACATGGGCCTTGTAAAAGTAAAGCAGCCTGAAAGGGTATCTCGCCAGGGCTTAGAAACGTGAAAGCGGGGCGAAGGTCAAGTTCTCTATTAACAGGCACATCTAAATCTAAAGCAAAGGGCATTGTCAAAGGACTTACCTGTTTCCAGAAGATGTGCATGTCATGTCTGTTCGGGTAAGGCTGTGTTTGTACGTGCAGACAGTGTACCTGTTCGTGCAAAGAAAAGTGTCTGTTCAAGAAGTAAGTGTGTCTGTTCGTCTAGAGTTGTGCCTGTCCGAAAGTAAAGTCAATAAGTAAAGTCCCAGTTCTGGTCTATGTCCAGGGGACAGTCCAGATCCAGACTTTCAAGTCCAAATCTAGGCTGAAAGGCCTCAGCAGCAGTTGAACTTCATTGGGACTGTATTGGGACACATGCAATGCAGGGTCTGGGACAAAGGAAAGGCTGAACTGAGCCAATGCAGACCCAGCGAGGAGTGGCCAGCACCATAAAGGAAGCTGCCAGCCTCATTCCTCGCCAGATCTCCACTGGCCATTTCTGCGTGGAAGTGTTGGTGGTGCACTTGTGCGCTAAGCCAGGAGGAGCAGCGCTGGAGGATGAAGATGCGCTGAGTGAGGGAAGAAGCCTGTGCGCTGGAAGTGATGCAGACATAGCTGCCCAGCGAGTCGGTATTAGTAGTAGAGAGTTAGTAATAGATAGCTATGAGTAGTATTCTGAGTAGATCCTCATGAGTGAAGAGTGTGTATGCATCGTAGGAGGAAGGAACTGAGGCAGAGAGTGTTCATTCAAGGGTTAGCTATGGAAGAGGCTTACCTGAGTTGAATGTGAACTGCAGAGGGTGGCACTGATGAGTGGTGACCACATTGATGACTTGGAGACAATCTGCAGAAGTAGCGCTGATGTATTGGAAACCATATTGATGAGTTGAGAAGGGTTGTGTATTGCGCTGATAAGCGCTGGACTCAGGGATCTTTGAAACTCTTTGTAATCATATTTCTGATAATATAAGTGGTGAAACTCGGTTCTATTCCCATCTACCTTTGTCTATTGTGTGAGACTACTCATCATTGTGTGCGAGTATGATGCATGGCATGTACACACTTGCATGAGATGGTCCCCACGACCCATGCAGCATGCTCACTCCCTACTTATGAGGATCTACTCTGAATGCTACTCACTGATGTCTACTACTAACCCTACTACTTCTACTAATAATGTTGGCGCAGCTATAACTGCTTCTGCCAGTCACCGCCCAGCCTCTTCTTCTCCTGCTTGTGGAGCTTCCAGCCAGCGCATTCTGCCTGCATGCTAGCGCACAAGTGCTTCAGCACTTCCACGCATCAATGCCAGTGGGGATCTGTCGCGTGGGGAGGCTGGCCTAGTCTCTTATAGTGCTCGCCTCCCTTCGCGAGGTCTGAATCAATCTTCCTTGGGTCTTTCCCCAGTCCCAGACCACTGCAGAATGCGTCCCAGTACCTTTTCTTCAGGGTCTGCTGCTGCGGCGGCCTTTAGGCCAGAATTTCGGATTTCCAGACTGCATCTAGACTCCCCCTTTGACTTGGATCTGGACTGGAACCTTATTTCTTTGACTTCTTTATGAACAGACACATCCATTGCATGAACAGGCACATCTACTGCACGAACAGACATGACCTGCACAGCCCCCTGGACGAACAGACGTGACTCTCACAATTGAATGTTGCAACTGTTCGTCCTGGGGCACGACTGTGACCTTTGACACAACTCCTCACTTCAGTTAGGATGTGACTTTTGACCCAGAGAACATGTCTTTTGATCTGCTTCTCGCGAATTGAGTTCTGGCCGAGTGGGCCCCATTATGCTGCGTTCGTCATTCAGGGTCTGAACGGGTAAAGGCCCTTTTACTCTCGCCGGCCTAGTTTCAAAGTCCTTTCATAAGCAGATACAATATGAGGTGCAGACTCAATCAATTCTTCTCTTGTGAACCAGCGATCTTCACTTGGGTCCTGATATGCAAATCTTACTTTATATTGTCTCTAGGGTCTGTCTCTACGTCCAGTTTGAAGAGTACTTCCAGCAACAATCTTGTCTACATCATATTTCCCATCCATACTAGGAGGAATCGTCGATCTATGACTGGGAGACAACTCATTTGTCACGCAAGGTAGGAGCTTTGAAGCTTGAAACACTGGATACGTATGCAAATGCAGAGGAAACTCAATCACGTAAGAAGGTCCATCCACATCTCCAACCACATCTAGAACCTGCCAAGGTCCTCTATAGGCTGGTAGCAGTTTTTGGGAAATGTTCTCTTCAGGAATAAATTCTTTAGACTTAACCCATACCAGATCACCTACAGCAAAACTGAGAAGGTCTTCTATGCCTCTTTGCCTATTCTATCATTTGAGGTTGTGCCTTTATTATATTCTCTTTTACTTTCTCAATATCTTTCTGCTATTGTATTGCAAATTCACATGTTCCTAGTGGAAGCTTATGTACTTGATCCGGGTTCAGCCGATCGATAGGTCTACGTGGACGCCATCCCAAATGCAACTCCATTGGAGTCTTGCATGTAGATAGGTGAACAAACTTATTATAAGCACTAGCAACTTTGGGCAAATGCTCGTCCCAATCAATCTGGTCGGGTCGTATGTACATACGCAGCGTTTGCTGCAAAATCTTGTTCATTAGCTCAGTCTGGCCATTCGTCTCAGGGTGTCGACCTGATGACATAGTCAACTTAGAGCCATAAACGTTCATCTGTTGCTGGCATTGTTCACTCGTGAACAATGAGTCTCTGTCACTTACAATCCTTAGGGGATGTCCATAATCTTTCACCCAGTGGTTAAAGAATTCCCGGATTACCAATTCTGTTTTGGCTTCCGTTGGCAATGCTACAAAGACAGCATACTAAACCTGTCAACAATGACCATAACTTGCGTTTTTCCATCCCTACTTTTTACCTTGGTGTCCATAAAGTCAATAGACACAGAGTCTCCCGAAACTGTTGGGATTGGCAAAGGCTTCAATAAACCAAGCGGAGGATGAGTAGTGCTCTTATTCCTTTGACACACTTGACAGCCCTGCACATAAGCGATGCAGTCGCGTTTCATACGAGGCCAAGTGTAGGAACGCAAAAGGTTTGCATATGTCTTTTTCCACCCGAAATGAACTTCAGTGTCATGGCATTCCCCCAGATCAGACTTTTGATCTCTTCCACATTTGGAATACAAAGCCTATCATGCACATCAGTCTGCTCAAACAACAGTCCTTGTGTAATTCGATAGTTAAGAAACTCTTGTGGTGCTTTCTGCATACGCTTAATCATAGCACCATAAACAGGATCTGTGGAATACGCTTTTCTAATCTTCTCTTGCGCATCCGTGCCCACATCTAAATATGTTACAATGGCACCGAAGAAATCAGATCTCCGACTTGATGCATCAGCGACAACATTATATTTCCCCTTTACTGGCTTTAGCTCAAAATCATACCGATCAATCTCAGTGGCCCACCTAATCAACTTAGGTGCCATCCGAGCCTGTGTTTTAAGCCAGCGAAGTGTCTCATGATCTAAGGACACCTTGAAGTAACGTCCTAAGACATAGTGTCGCCAGTGCCTCTCATACGTAGAAGCGACGACTTTCTCATTAGGTAGTCGTCGAAACATTAATTCAACAGACATGTATCCATTACCGTCGTCCTGTTGGAGTACAGCGCCTATCCCGTACTGCCTGGCATCGGTTGTGACGACAAAGGGCAAAGAAGGATCAGCAACCTTCAAAACCGGAGCATTAATTAGACATTTCTTTACACGCTTAAAAAGTTGTACAATCCGAGTCCCACTTCCAGATAGGTGCATCAATTATCGTGAAATGTTGAACGAACTTCCGATAATAGTTAGCTAGCCCAAGGAACGACCGCAACTCAGTCCAAGTGCGGGGGTTAGGCCAATCGCGAATTGATGCAATCTTTGCATCTTCCGGTTTGATCCCATCACTATCAAGCACATGCCCCAGATATAAAACCTGACGCTTAGCCCACTCACACTTCTTGGGGTTCATTTCAATTTTGCCTCACGTAACTTATTTAGCACAAGTCGAAGGTGCTCACAATATTATTTCAGATCTTTACTAAGAATCAAAATATCATCAAGATAAACAACGACAAATTTATCAAGCCACTCGCGGAAAAGCTCATTCATCGTTCTTTGGAAAGTTGCAGGGGCATTCGTAAGACCAAAGGGCAACACAATGAACTCATAGTGCCCATACCTTATTCGAAAACCAGTCTTGTATTGGTCTTCTGGCTCTACCTCAATCGGATAGTAGCCAGACTTCAAATCAATCTTAGTGAAGTACTTGCTACCCTGCACTCGATCAAACAAATCGTCTATTCTCGGCAGTGGTTCAACATTTTTAACTGTTATATCATTCAATTGTCTATAATCTATGCATATGCGGACCCCGCCATCTTTCTTTGGCACAAATAGCACTGGTGCACCATAAGGCGAGGAGCTAGGTCTTATCAACCCCTTTTCCAGCATTTCATCGAGTTGGGTTCGCAGTTCATCCAATTCTTTGAGTGACATTCTATATATAGGCCCCTTAGGAATCTGACTTCCTGGTACAATCTCAATGCGATGTTTGATTGGTCGTTCCACGAGACCGCTTGGGGCCTCTGCCACGTCTGCGAATTCTTTCAAAATCTTTTCAATTTCGAGGGACTTTGCCTCTTCTTTGACTTCTTCTTCCTTCACCGGGCGCACATATGCTACAAACACTTCATCATACAAATTATACTTTTTCACATGGCGGGCGAACGCGGGGGCACTCATACAACAATGAGCTAAGCTGCTTTCCTTACCAGATTCATGGAACAGGCGGATTCTCTTTTTTCCACCCTGCGGACTAGGGAACCAACACTCATGATCCCTTAACTTTATATCCGCATCTGCAGCTTCACCCCAATCCATGCCTAAAAGAATGTCAAAAGGAAGATTATTTTCCACCAAGAGAGTTAGAGAGTGGAGAACGTGTTCCACCTTCCCCTCTGCTTCGAGCCAGAAGTATATCTAGACCCCTTCAACATATCTATCCATTACAGTTACAGTACTATTAGCTAGTTTACTCACTACGGGCTCATCTAACTGTTTAACCTTAAGCCCGAGTCGCAACTTTTGCAAACCCTTTTTACTTATGTAGCTGCGTGTAGACCCGCTGTCAATCATACCTCCAACTCTCACTTTGTTTACCTCTAGATCTCCGAATATTAATTGTTCTCTCTGTTTTCTCATTTCGACCCAAGCTTTGCGACAAGTGGCCAACTCATCACCTATGTCTGCGAGGGATCCACCCAGAGAGGTAAATACACTTACTACCTCTAGACAACTAACTAGGTGGGGGTCGCGTACTTTTTAAACTTCTACCAATGGAACCTTCGGATGGGAGGATGTCTTTCTATTAAGTATCTTATAATCTGGACAGCGGGTCTACATGTTCTCGTAGAGGCAACTGAAACCTCTACTGGTTGTTCCCTTTTAGTATCTTATAATCTTGACAATAGGGAACAATGTGGTTGGGGTCACCACATTTAAGGCATTGGTCGACAACTATCCTTTCTTGCCAAACTTTTTCTGTAATCCCCAATTTCTTCCACGGCTCCCCATCGGGCAGAGACCTGGATGGGTCGGATATGGCTTATCCCAGTTGTTATACGAAGTGCCTCGTCCTCTACCCCAAGTGGAGTTGAAACCTCGACCACCTTGCGAGGGACCATTGCCCCTTCCACCCACGTAGTAGCTACCTTCGCCACTAACCCTCTGGGTGCCGGGTCCTCTTCCACCACGTCCGCGGCCTCATCTTCCTCGGCCACGGCCTCTTCCTTGTCGCCCTCCCCCGGGGGCTGCAACGGCCGCGTAGTCCCCCTCCTGAACTACCGAACCGTTGGGTCCTCCCTGTAGACCATAATCTATCTGGTCGTAAGAGAGAGTTTCGACACCTCCTTCTTCAAAGGTAAGAAGGAGATTGTCTTTCCCAAGTATGTTCCCTGAGATAGTGCGGCTCTGACACTTTTACCCGCTTGCAGATCTTTCCAGTAATGGCAATAGTTAGCTTCGGCTAAGAAGCCGACATGATCTATAGCAATCTTACTGAATTTTTCATATGTCATCCCCTCCTCCTTGGTACGGGGATATAACTGGGTACGGAGAGGGTCGGGCAGTGCTCTAGCGAAGTTATTAAGAATTTGAGTAGGAGTGAGTCCATGTTCAGTGCATTCTAGGAGTTCATCCATCGTTGCTTTGAGCACAGACGCACTCTTCCATTTCCGATCCGCAATGTTTAAGATTAACATTTCTGTTCGGCGAGCCAGATTCTTATCTTCAAATCTTTCTTTGATAGCTTTGAAGAAATCTTCAATTCTCGTTTGCTGTGAGTATTCAATCATAGTTTGACAGTCGGCTTCTTTTTGCAACGAGATGGCGAAGCTCATTGCATCGTCGATCATACACGAAGTGGCCATCAAAACTCTATCCCAATACGGAATGCGTTGTCCGTATACATAAAGACTATACAGCAGCAATCCAATGTAAGACACTCTCCTCCTTTTTGCCTGTGTAAGTCCACGACACTTTGACTTTAATTTTTCTCACATCCCCGCTTTCTTCTCACTACACTCCCTTTCCTTTCTTGTCTCCATCTCCCCCATCTCCGTCTCCATCTCCTCCTCCTCCGCCACTGCCACGAATTATCTTTTCAATCACGGCGGGAGTAAAGGTTTGGTTGATGTGATCATCTAATTTCTGGATATATGATTGTATATGTTGATCAACATTTTTGGCGGACTTTTGCAGGAAAGTGTTCCAGACTCCCTCAAACTTATATTAATGGGTTTCAACTTCCTGCAAAGTTTTGTTCATTGCTGCTAACTCTTGCTTTGTATGAAGGACTGTTTTTGTCAAGAGAGCAAGTTTTTCTTCTGTTGCAGTTTGCTTTTCTTTCTGGTCTTGTAGCTCTTTTTGCAGCCTCGCACCCTCTGCTTGCAGCCTTTTCCTTTCATCAAGCTCTTGCCGCTTCGCTGCTAACATTTTAATATGCAGTTCTGCACGTTTCCGCAACAGATGCCAATTTTGCAACGAACATATCTCTTTCCTCAATCTCTTCAATTCGATCGCTGGAATATGCATATTGATCATACCAATTCAGTGGTTTGACCTAGAGTTCCCCACCTGTCTGGCTAGTTTCTCCCCTTTCTATCCGTCGCCTGATGAGCCTGTTAGCAGCACGTTCATCTTCTTTTTCTATGGTTTTTAGTTCTTCCTGCAGTTCTTTTTCTAACTTTTCTTTCATTTCTTTCTCCATCTATACTTTCTTCTTTATTTCTTCTTCTTTCTGTCTCTTTCTTTCTTCTTTCTCTTTCTTCTTTTCGGCCAGGCAGCGATCTATTTCAGCCTGCTCTACAACCGAGGGCCCAGGCTTCACAGCGCCGGATCTCATCATCATCCGGGAGGTAGATGTCCTCCCGAAGCCCAGGGGAAAGAAAACTTTGAATAATGGGCCCAACAAAACTGAGGGCCAACAACCCTTGCATAGGATAGTCATCCATGTTGGGTGACAGCACAGGAACTGCCTTCGCTGGCCCAACAAGTAGACAACCCCCAGTACTATACTAACCTTATGTGGATGGGATCTGCCTTGTTTTTTTTTTTCTTTCAAACTTTGGATATCGCTGATTCAGGAATAACGAATTTCAGAGAATATAAAACTTTTACAACTTCAATATACAATAGGACTTTTTTTCTAGGTTGGGCCCGGGGGGGTCCGCCCGGCTGAACCGGGCGTCGCAAAAACATAGCAAGAAATTTTTTTTTTTTTTTTTCCGAAGGKGGGGGGATTCATAGCAACACCACGAACAACGGCTGCTGCGCTGCACTAGAGGACCCCGAATCGGCAATAAAAAAGTACTTCGAGGATTGTGGGGGGGGGG